ACCAGAAAGAGGGAGGGGGGAGGCGGGGAGGAAGGGAGGGAGGAGTAGGTGTTCTAGTAATTCCTGCAACTCAGAGGATAGGGCTGGTTACTCATGGATCATACACCCCACTAAAACACTCTAGCAATGACTTAAAGACAAGTGGGGATGGCAACAAGAAAGAACAAAAAGCCAGATCAAAAGGTAGCCTCTGTGATAGTATAAGCAGGCAATGACCATGCTCTTTAGGGCCAAGGCAAGGAGGACCCCCCATTTAAGGAGGTATGACTGGTAGGACAAAGTGACCTACTTGGTATGAGAGAAAAAACGGGGAATGTCAAGGACCATCAAGGGAATACAGGAGATTTAGCCAATCGAGAGAGCAAACTGTGCTCTGGTTTCTACATGTCTGAAGTCCCCTTGTGACACAGAAATCAAGCTGTCTTGAACACTGTTGAATAAGTGGCTCTCCAGCATAGGAAAGTAGAGGAAGAGATTCTTATGCCAGAAGTCCCTGGATCCTGCACTTGCTTCCTCACTCCCTCAGGTCTCTAACCAAAGGTTATCCTGTCAGGGAAGTGTGATCTCTCTCAGTAAGATCTAGAGCAGCCCTCCATACCACTGCCTAATTTACCCACAGAAGTTCACGACACTAACTGGTTTTCACTGGTTACCTAACCCCATGGTAATCCAAGAAGAAAGGCAGGTACATCCTTGATTTTGTTGACCACTATCCTCAGTACCCACAACAGGGACTAACTAACATACTGCTGGGACTCAACAGTTGAGTGAATAAACAGGGATTTGGTCAGCAACACCACATTGACAGCAGCTGTAATCATGGATTACATGGTTACATGGACAGGCTTGGGTCAATTAGGGAGAGACTGGAGTGTCAGTAGAATGGGCTGAGAATAGAGATCAGGGTACCGCCCATGCTTAAGATTGCTGAAAAAGATTAGGGAACTACCCTAGGAAATAGCAGGACAAAGTGCAGCCCACAAAGCAGGAAGAGGACTTAGGTGGGCCAGGCAGCAGGGTCTGTGGAGTGCAGCTCAGGAATGAGTCATATACCCCCCACCCCACTGTAAAACACAGGCTGGGAGAGCAGCACAACCTGATGTCAATCAAAAAAATGTATGGACATAGTTCTCTGACAGAGTGCCCAAGTATTCCTTAAATTCAAGCAACAGGCTATGAGTTAAATAATATCTCCAACCGGATTTTACATTTTGTCTAAATCAGATGTTTCCCTCTCCTCACCCATTCACTCATGCATTCAACACAATTTTGAATTTCCCTCTACTTCTGTTTTTTCATAGGAAGTTTTTCTTTTAAGCCTAAACATATATCTGCCTATTATGAATGTGAATTATAATGTGGTGGACAAAACTGGACCAGGAAACAGGAGGCCTGCATTCAGAATCTACTGGTTACTAGCAAGAGAAACTGTCCTGAACCTTACAACTCACTTGGGTCTCAAAGACACTGACAACATGGCAATAGTAGTAGCAACCTTGGCGCCTACCAGGTTCGTGACAAGAAGGTACATTCACTAAGAATATTCTATACATTATTGTCATTATATATCATATATCATTTGTTTACCTGCACTATTTATATACCTAAACCATTTACAGGTAGCATTTGATTCAATGCTAATAACTAACCTAGATGTGGCCACTGATTTCCTTTGATAGAGGAAGAAACTGAGACTCAGGGAGATTTAGAAATCAAAGTTCCATAGCTATTAAGTTTTGAGCTGGGATTTAATCTTGGTTTTTGTTTTGTTTTGTTGCACTAGGGGTTGAACCCAGTGGCCTTTTACTACTGAGCTATTCCCCAGAATTTTTTTATTTTTGTTTGCTTTACTTATTAGTATCAGGGATTAAAGCCAGGGGCACTTAACCACTGAGCCACATTCCCAGTCCTTTTTACTTTTTATTTTGAGACAGGATCTCACTAAATTGCTTAGATCCTCACTAAGTTGCTGAGGCTGGCCTTGAATTTGTGATCCTCCCTCCTCACCTCCCAAGTCACTAGGATTACAGGCATGTGCCAACATACCCGGCCAGACCGTTTTTATTTGAGGGGTCTCACGAAGTTGGTGAGGCTGGTCTCAAACTTGGGATCCTCCTGTCTCAGCCTGAGTTGCTGGGATTTCAGGTGTGAACTAACAGACCCAGCTTAATCTCATATATTTGAAGCCACTGCCCCAAACTGTTGCTTGCACAATAATACAAAGCTACTCTGTAAATTTACTTTCTATATGCATCTGTAAGTTAAATTTGAGCAACAGCAACAATAAAAGCAGAGAAGGTATATTTCCATGGCTGCCTTTTCCTAGAAATGAATCTACATGTGAAGCTTTTGAATACTCCCTGGCCAGGAAAAAAGGTGACCAGGAGCTAACCATGTCCCACCAAGTTAAGAAAACACATGTTAGAATGATTAGTTACAGCTTAGTAACAAGGGTGGCGGGCTTTCTCAGAGAATAAGTTGTCAGCCTGCTAGAGTGAAAGGGGCTGCAGAATCTCTGGGGCTGTCTGTAGGGCTGGTTCATCAATAACCTACCATGTGTTAAGCAGTCCTATCAGCAGAGGGAGCAGAGGAGGTTTCTGAGCTTTTCACTGTGAGCCAGAATGGAAACCAAATGAGAGCCCAGTTTTCACTTACTTAAGTCACTCAGCAATATGTCACATGGCATTTGCTCCCAAAATAAGGGTTTGAAATAAGACAGGGCCCTGCACAGACATACCTACAATCTATTTTCATGTTTAAATCATGTCACTTCCTTTAAAATCACAAAATTAGGGGCTGGGGATGTGGCTCAAGTGGTAGCGCGATCGCCTGGCATGCGTGCGGCCCGGGTTCGATTCTCAGCACCACATACAAACAAAGATGTTGTGTCCGCCAATAACTAAAAAATAAATATTAAAAAATTCTCTATCTTTCTCTCTCTCCCTCTCTCACTCTCTCTTTAAAAAAAATAAATAAATAAAATCAGAAAATTATAATCTTGGGACTGTTATTGATAGCAGGGTCCTATAATTAGGGACAACTATCAAAATAAGTCAAGACACTTCTTTCTCAACACAGCAAAAGAGCAGGCAGATGTTCTCTCAAATAGAAACAAGCCGAAAAACTAAATATAACACCATCAGATGAAAGAGGTTACAAATTATAAGCTAAATTAATGCATTGTAGGAACCTATAAGGATGTTAAACTCCCAAGGTTTTTGCAAATGTTAGGTGTCACTGACTAAATATAGAAAGAATAAGAAAAGCTCAGAAATGGGATTGCATAAGCAGAGAGTAAGAGAAAGCCCAGTGGCACAGAACAAATTTTTAAAGCACATTTCTTGTTCATGAGTATAAAAGCAATAAAACAAAAATGGTTAAAACATGGACATGGCTTTACCACCGCCAGTCAGCTTCTTTCACAGTGATTGTCAAAGGCATGACCCTGGAGCCAGTGAAAGCAGACAATGGATGGGAAAGGACACTTACTTTTTGGCAAATCCCCAGTACTAGAGGCTGAAACTGTCCTGCTTCTGTCATGCGATGGACTGCTTTCCTCTTGCTCAGTAAGTGGAGATCCCTCAGAGAGCACAGAGCCACAGGCCACAGGTTCTAAGGGCCCAGAGAACAATGAAGTGGAAAACTCTGGAAACTGCGACTCCGGAATCTTATGTTGTCCATTTGGCAATTCACCATTGAATTGTTCGTAGGAGCTGCTATATGTGTAATCACTTTCTGCATTGGGCTCATCAAGGTTATATTCCTCAGGATTTGGGCAGTCATCTTCATCATCCTCTTCATCCTCCAGCTGCTGTTCCAGTAAGAATGGACCATTCTCAATGTGGCCATTGGTTTTGGGTGACTCAATCCATGTAGGGTCTATATTCGCAAGCTCCTGTTCAACATCATCTTCATCTTTCTCAATGTTTTCTTTCTCAGTGTCTTCTTTCTCTTCTTGGTCCTCAGCTTCACCTTAAAAAGTTCAGGGGTTAAGAATTAGGCCTTGGTACTCTCTTTGACACAGTGGCATGAGGTACTTATGTCCTTTGACAAGATATACTTCTTAATGTGCTTTATTTATGTACCACACAGTCAACACCTCTTGGCTTTCAGGGTAAACCCTGTAAGCTTTCTAAATCTTATTTTTCATTTATTTAACTTATTTGTTTATTATTTGAGTCTCCTTAGAGGAAGTTAGCATTGAGGGAAAATAATTTTATAAGTAAAGTTGGATTTCTATTTCTACCCTCTCCCGAACCTTCAGAAAAAGGTCTGTGATGTGTTAGGTCGGCAAAAATTTAATCACAAAATAAAAAGAAGGGGCCATTATTAGCATGGATAGAAACATGGTGCTTTCCATTTTTAAAAACTACTCTGCGGTGTTAACTAATGTCTGTCATACATTTTTATTAATGAACTACAGATTGAACAGGTTGCTTCCCATACTGTCCATTAAGAAGACAGAGAAACTCTTCCTTAGTATCCAAAGCAGCAGCATAAAGCCCACCTCTGTGATGCTCCCAAGACCCCATCAACCCTGACTCCGGATGCCACTGACCATCGTCTTTAGCAGTCTCTTCCTCGGTTGCCTCCTCTAATCCTGCCGCTTTTAGTTTCACCTCTGGGCAGTACTCATCATCTTGCTCATTGGAAGGTACAGCGGAGGTGATGTTTTCCTCTATTATTTTTCTTTCGGCTTCTCGCTCCAATTCCTCTATCTCCTGAAGGCGTTTTTCTAATAACTCAGCCTGCCTCTTCTGTTTCTTTTTCAGCTTTTTCTTCTTGTTTTTAGATATTTTTCCTATCTACAACATGTTAAGAAAATACCATAGGTCAGTCGGCTCCTTTTTAAAGCACCATATAATAGCGCAAGTGCTGGCAGTATGGCAAACACTAACCATTTTTTTTCACATCATATTCAATTAAGTTCACAAACCCAGAGAGAAGCATTATGGTGAAAGAGAAAACAGTCTGGCTAATATCAGTGCTGGCTAATATCAGGTCTTACCCTCAGAGCAGTATACCTCCTCATCAGTTCAGTTCTAAGAGAATTGAATCACTGAAACACTTGGAAGCTCCTCTTGAAAGTTTTATTTGTTGCTGCCTTATACAAAGTTACCATCCTTCTCACCTCCTTATTGACAAAAAAGAAATGTTTGCCAAAATAGGGAGACAAGGGCTGGGGTTGTGCCTCAGTG